CATTTTTATGCCTTGACTTGCCTTGCCTTCTGTTCCAAACCACTGTAATAAAGTTCTCCAGTGGTGTATTTTACAGAATCATAATATTTATTTGAAAAGAGCCTATGCATTCAAATAAAAAATGATGTAAACTCTTTCAAAGATTCTACTCAACAATATTTGAGATGAATTATACTTTTTCCCAGAACTAGCTAATTTTAATCATATTTTAGCTTCATAAGATCCCTACCCTTGTGTTTTTCCCAAGCGAACTCCATACCCTCATGTTCTAGATTGTACTGCAGGATACCCTCTCCTCATGCTCCAGTTTTTTCAAGCTCTACCTTGCTTATTGCCTGTTGCAGTATTTGACAACAGAGACTTGTCTCTCTTACCCAATACATACAATCATTTGAATTTGAGATCTTTGAAGCATGATCCTGTAGTCTAGGAGGCGGCTGGGGTTTCTAGGGACTTATATGTACGTTACTGGATTGACACGTTTCAGTAAACAAGAGTGGGATGGTTGAGAACTTGGACAATGTAATTGGCATTTGAAGACTATGAGAAGTCAAAAAAATTTTAGAGTAGAACATTTCAATGCTAGTCTCAGAAAAAGTCTAAAGGATCCTCAGGCAAGCAGAGTATTTTGTGAGAATTATATTCAGAGATATGTAATGATCTCCAAAGTGGTCTCAGGGATCTGTATAGTTTTCTTCATAGTCTTCATATTGTAAAAGGAAAAGCATGTGCTTACCAAGGAAGCAGTAAGTCTGCATACGTAATCTCTGACAAACAGGTGTCAAACCCCGAGGGAATGAGGAGGATGGCAAAGCAATGCCTCCACTGGCAGCCTATAATCTTCTACTCTCAGGGCAGGCTCTTTGCGGCCATTTGAATACTTTCGAATCTTGTCACATCTGAGTAGCACTTGAACATCACACCTTATGGTCCTTAAGGTGTGAGTAAGTTGGGTTAAGCTGATGCTATCAACTTCAACCTTGATATAAATAATCACAACCATTATATAAGCTCAAAGATAAGCAGGGTTACCATATTTTATTCATGACCATAGCCTGATCATTGATCGCCATGGCTGATATATAACACGTATTCAAGAAATATTTATTCAGTGAATGAAATAAAGTAATTTAATATGTTAACTTTATATTTATACAAAAAATTATTAGCTATTAAAATAAAAATGAATGTGGATTTTTAAATCGAAATGTTATGAGCAGCACCTTTCAAGGACCCCTGTGAAAAAAATATTACAAAAGAATAGAGTATTGAGGCACAAGTGCCCAGTGGGATTGGACATTTTAACTTAATATCAAGTCTCTCTCTCTCTGTCTTTTCTTTCTTTAATAAATGTGATATCATAAGGTATCTTCATAAAGAAAGACAAAAAAAATTTGGATTGATGTATTCCCTAACACAAGAAGGCAACAATAGTTACCTTAAGGAAAATCAACAAACAAAATCAATTAAAAAGCCAACTTAACTATTTGACCCTAGAAAACTAATTTGTCCTTCATAGAAATCAGCTAGAAGATTGATAAGCAATTATCAATGACAAGGACTTTAGCAAACATAAGTCCCCTACACTGATCTTTGGTACCTATTGAAGTTCATTCTATTGTAGAGAAAAATACTGCTTTTTTAGTGATGTGTGTATATACCTAAGTTAGATGAGTCACTTCCATTCAGGCTACATGGAACTGCATAGTGATTAAAATGTCTTTGAGTCTTTGCATATGATGAATAGCAAACTAATAAAAATTAATTTAAATGAGAGTCTATGTTGCACTGGTTTTGTTTTCGATTCATATAAGCCTGGTTTGAATTTCCACAATCAATTACTATTGTGTATTAGTTTGGAAAAGTTTTCTAAACCTCAGCATCTTTACCCAGAAAATGAACATATATGTGGGGTTGAGGTGAGAATTAAGGAAGATATCTTGAAAACTTAGTTCAGTGTTGGCATAAAGTAAGAAATAAATTGTAGTGTTCATTACTATTGTCATTGTTATTAGTCTTACATTATAATGAGTTATACACTCATAAGTAGTGATACTAGGATATCATTGCATGCATTTTGTGAACTAGAATTATTCTGGATTGGTTTTATCTCATTCTCTACCTTATTTTCATTCTTGCTAAAATTCTCACACATTGCTAATGTATGTCACCTTGCTATATTTGCACATAAATAACAATTTCTTTATTTGGATAAAAAGTGGGATTTAAATAAATATATAGATGAATAAATATAGATATAAAACTGCCTAAATAATGCTCACATGTTTATATAACAATTCTGCCCTATAAATTATAAAGTGTCCCAGGGTCTCATCCAATATTTGTTTCATATAATGAGAGAGAAGGGCAGAAAATATAACCTCAAAAGAATATATAACTCAACTAGAATCGAAGCTTTGCAAGTGTACTGATTTTGGCCTGTTATGCCCAGAACAGTGCTTGGTATACAGGTGAACTTCAGTTAATATTTGTTGAATAAATACATAAATTAAATAAAAGAACATTTTCTAGTAGTTTTATGTGCAAAGCAATTAGCCAGGCACCTTGGGGAATACAAGATTTACAACAAATAAATGTAGCTTCTCTTTCTGTAACTCACCATGTAAGTAGAGAACAGAAATTCTCAACGAAATAAACATTATAAGTCAGATGGCATTGTAATGAAGACCCAAGCACAATGCCATGTATCAAGGTGGAGTGGGAGGGTGCTTGAGGGGTGTACATTAATTCCAACTGAGGAAAAACATGATAGAATCCTAATACTTTTATCCACAATTCAGGGCACTTGACACTAATTTCTAAGCAGTATTTCGAATAATTTTAACATAAACCTGCCCTCATGAAAAATATTGGCCTCCTAAAATGGGAGATGTGCACCCAATCACAAGGAGTTGATTTAACCAAAAGCTGAGACTTTTTTTTCACACCACTCTTTACCCTGAAGTACCTCAAAGTCATTTTGATGAGGAGGGTTATGAAGTGGTGCATTCTTGTGTTTGGCCCCGTGGCTGAAATGTTATTTCTGGGGGAAATGATACAATTTCCAATGTTTGGGACAGAGCTGATTCTTTAATATAGCTTTCTCAGCACCAGCTTCATATTCTAATCCCTTGGAGGGGTTATGGGAAAGAAAGAAGAAAAGGGAAAAAGGTAGAGGAGAAAAAGAAGAAAAAATTGCTTAGCCCTAACCCCAAACTAATAAATAATAATCTCTAAGAGAGGGGCCAAGACCTCAGCATTAAATAAAAATCTGCCAAGAATGTAATATGTTGCCATGATTGAAAGCCACATTTGTCTAAGACAATGCATCTCAAACTTTGCTGGGCGTAAGAATCACCTGTATGGCTTGCTGAAATGGGATTCATGAGCCTCGGCCCAAAGATCTATTTGGGATAAAGTTCAAGGTTTTTCATTCTAACAAGTCCCAAGATTATGTTATGCTGTTGGTCTGTGAAGCAGTCTTGGAGTAGCAATGCTCTAGGCAATGGCTACCAAAGGCTCCCTAAATACAGGCAGAGAATCGAGTTGCCAAGGAGTTGCTGCTCAAAGGATGATCTATGGACAGACAGCATCAGCACCTTCTGAGATCTTGCTAGAGATTCCCACTTTCAAACTCTTCTAAAACAGAACCTGTATGTCAACAAGATTCTCAGGTGGTAAGCATGAACATTCAAGTGTGAGAAGCAATGCTTTAATACTCAAATTTGATTGTATATTGGACTCACCTAGTAGATTTTTTAAAACTGCCACTGCCTGTGTACTGCTCCAGGAAGCCTTCTGGACATTGACACTTTTTAAAAATTGACCAAGTTATTTATTTATTTATTTTTTTGAACAGCAAGTTTTGAGAAAACCTTGTTCTACAAGACATGATGTGAGGTGATGTTATGCAAAATTTTCTCCAAAATTATTTTCTTCCAGTCTCCTGGTTCGTCACATTGCCTGACATTCTACTAATAGATATTCACTCATGCATGTTAATAAGAATCTTCTCAAATACAAATCACTATAGGAGGATGAACATTGTTTTATCAGTCATTCACAACATTGTGTCAACATAATTTAATTAAACTCTGAGACCACTGAGCTAGAAAAAATGAGTTGTAATGGAGGTTGGGAGAATGGGAGAAACCAATAATTTCAAGCATTAGGGAGCTTATTTCATGTACTGAGATGGATGGAAGTTTGGACTGTTGATGGTGGTGAGATGGATAGCTTAGTTCTTGTTCAACCAAAAGGTAGAGTAGCACACTGAACATTTGAGTAGCTCGAAGAGTGGGACTTAACAGTGAGAATAAATTTCTTTCTTTTTATGAAAAGAACATGGAAATAATTGGTGAGAAATTATGAAATTATAATTATTTTGAGATTGGATATAAAAAAGAGTATGTAAGTGGCTGACGTAGTAGCCATTGGAAACTATTATAAGTCTCTGCTTTATTTTGCAAACATTTTTTATCATCTGACTGAGCTCCAGAATCTTGTCATATATTTATCATGCTCCATAATATTTTAGTTATTGATATCCCAGCAACATCATACACACCGATTTGCTCCTTATTTAAGCCAGGTTAACTCTAAAAGTATGACTGAATGAATATGCTAAGTATCCCTCCAATAAATATCTTGTCTACATACACAGGTCTAGGATTGCCAGAATTTTCTCTTTCATGCCACCAGACACCTTAGATACACTCTGAGTCATTTAACTGGAATTAGGTACATATGGAAAACAGAGAAGCATCAGTGTTCCTCTTACTTAATGGATCACCTTGAAGGAGAAGACAAGCAGTGATTAAGGACAAATTGGGGATCACATAACAAATTAAAAAGTCTAGACCCTCAATACTCACCAGCATCAGTCTTCTACAATGCATGCAATCTCATGGTCAACTGCAGAAGTGAATAATGTAGGTACATTTCTTTGAAAAAGTTATGTTGTTTCTTGATAAATAAATACCAGTAACAACAAAATCAACTAATTTAAACTATTGCTTTTATTATAATTACACGGGAGCACAAATAAATAAGCACAAAAAGTATTGTAAAATATTGTCAATGCACTAAAGAAAACAATTTATTTTCAAACAACATCTGGTTACTTCAGTAGTATCAAAGTACATTTATAATTACATGTTACTTAAAAAAATCAAGTACAAAAATTAAGAGACATTAAAACATCAGTGTTTATATTATTACATATATAGAAATGGCTAATAACACATGAGTAGAGAAATCTGTTATCTAATGCTTATTTGCACAATTTTTCAGGCACATACCTGACATTTCTAATGAATTATGAAAAATGCAATATGACATTCAGATTTTTAGATATGGTAAACATGTTATATTGGAATGGATGTTAAATGGTTTTCTTTAAAAACCCTGTCTTTTAAAAATGTAGTGCCATTATCCACTAAAAAACATGTTATTTTATATCATCTTCTCATAGCTATTTGTTCCAGTTTTCTGAAAGAGCAAGAAAGTAAACATACAATTGCTAAATACGTAAACACATTTTTAGTGCAAGATAACAAGACCTGTGACTTTACTGTGCTTTGTTTTTTATAATCACAGTGCACTTTACACAAGTTGCTACACTATAAATGTTAACTTAAGGAGTTCCAATCAAAAGAAGTGCATACTAAACATTTTCATATATATTATATACAGTATGTATACTGTACGTGGGTGAATACATGTGTAAATGTAGATGCTTTTAGGGTGGGCAAACCCAGTTATATTTGGGAACAATTGAACACTTGCAAAGAATTTTCACATATGTATAGTTGAGATAAATCCAACAGCATTTCTTTGAAAAAAATTCCCCTTAAATTTGAAACTTCATAATATTTAAAGGGAAATGTAATCAGACATTATTTTTTTCATATTACACACATTTTGCAATGTAATTGACCCAAATATCAAAGAGTTTTAAATCATCCAAACCCCAAGTCATAATGTTCAAGTCCAACATGGCAAAATGTGTTATCGTTTTAATGATTTACATAGACAGCAATACATATTATATATGCAGACATCGAGGCTTACACATAAACGTATTCTATACTTGGACATTCAGTTTAGTATGTTTAGTATTTTAGCTTGACTATACACTTGATCTGAAAAAAAAAGGAGAATGCCATATGTAAACACAATTGTATATCTTCTTAAAAACAATTGGCTTTATTTTGAAAATATTGATGATTGCATAATTAAGCTCCTTGAAGGGTGGAACGACATTTTTTTCAATGTGTAACATGAATTGCTTTAGAATATTTTTAATGCCTGATACATAAGTTGCTCAATAATGAATTGCTAAATAAATAATAGATTAATAACAAATTCTCCGCATTCTACAATTAGCTGTCTATTTTGCACATGGAAGATGTAGTGACATAATGTTAAATGCTATAGGTACTGTTTTTCTTTTATTTCCACTTAAGTTTGGGACACAACAAATTGTGAATTACTATCTATTCTACTCCCAGTTCTTTGTAAGTGTGAATTACCTCTCATCTTGGATTACTTACTGCTTAAATCATAGGAATCATTGTTTCTTAATTTCACATGTGAGTGTAGTTATTTTACAAGCTCTCTTCTACTTTAGGAAACTGACTTGTCTTAACATGAAGGTAATATTAAAATTCCCTTTGTATGTGCATTGTGTTGGTGTCTTATTTAATTAGTTGAAATGATAACCCAATAGCTTTATTTCATTTTATTGACTTGGTCACTAAATTTGCTAAAAGAAATCAAAATAAATTCCATGGATAGGCAAGATCCTACACCAAAATGTAGTGATAAAAACACTCTTTTATTCTCTAGAAGCATTCAAAGACAATTTTGTCACTATTTTGGAAAGTAAAGTTGTATCCAGTTGTCTCCAGACAATTGACGTGTATTTGAATATATAATATTTTAAAACTACAAATTTTAATCTCCAGATGTTTTACTTTCCTAATTATTTTACATTGGTGGGTATTAATCTTCATTTACACAAATCCATCACATTTGACTCCAAGCTTGCTTCATTAGCACAAACAGGGGCAAGATGTGGGTAGTGTTTATATAAAAGACCACTCTTATACCTCAGAGGATGCTGGTTTCTGTGATTGGAAAAAATGCAGATCCTTATTTTTTATTTCCATCAGTTCTAAAGAAATTTATATCTTCTCTGCTAAGGAGTGTTTCACATATAAAAGCATCTTGTGACATCCAATAAAAATTCTGTTTCTAAGAAATTTGCTGTGAAAAGACCATTTTTCATAAGTATGAGCTCGTTCAACCTGACAACCATGCCATGATATGATTTGTTCTTTGGCACTGCTAGAAATATGAGCTTTATTATGGCATAGTGTTCTGGCTATCTGTACATTATCTCCTGACCAAATTAATGTATTGAAGTATCCTGGTTGATTACTGCCAGAGAGTCAGCTTATTTGTTTCTACATACTAACAACCTCCTTTTCTCCATTTAGAGAAACACTACACAAAGAGGAAATTGATTATGGAATGATTATTGCCACAATGGACAACTGTATAGGCACAGAATAACAGTTCTTGAGTCAAATCTCAGTTAAGCCACTTTTCCAGACCTTTCAGTCACTTTCCAATTAAGGAGGCATTTATAGAAATAAATTTAAATGGTTGCCTAAAGTAAAATTTTCCAACAAGTTACCTCCTCAGAAAATAACGCATTTGAAAAAGGAGTGTACAAAACCTGGCCATAGCATGAGTTTGATAGAACAAATAGGAATGGTTTAATCCAACACAGATAGTTTTAGTACTTCTGTTTCCTTCTTGACAAATGGCCAACATTAAATAAATCTTCTGCCTAAATCAGAGTGATATTGGAAAGATAGGCATCTGAAAACACTCTTGCATCTCCCCACAGAAAGATGTTCCCTAAATGTAAATTTTAAGGGAGGGTTGATCATTACCATACTGATCCTGAATATATGTTTCCTAAAGATGCTGAGAATTGATATCTTGTGTCTGACTGATAGGCTTGAGTATATGTGGTCATAAAAACTTAAATCAGGATAACAACTTGGGTCATAAACACATTTTATTTCCATTCTGATTTTATCTAAACACATTTTCATCACCCTTAGATTTGTGTTCCATAGATTCTTGGGTTTGAAACATAATCTGTAGCTGGTGAAACATGCTGGCAGGATTTATTTAAGCTACTTAAGATCTCTTTGTGACCTCCTGCATTTGTGATTCTGGTTTTCTACCACCTCAATTATATAAGCAGAACCTACAACTTCAGTAAGCATTTTATGTATACAGTTCTCCCACTATTCATTCATGCACACACACACTCTCACACACACACACACCAACCATACACTGCTTCCACTTACCTTTTTCCTCATTCTTTCAGAATTCAAATTGGACATCAAAATACACATTAATTATAAAATATTAGAAAATCATGTTATAACATTGAAAAGACTTTTGAAAGAAACTGTTACTGATAAAGCATTACTAGATTTGTAGCAATATAGATTACAAAAATTCTCTAACTCCTGTTATATTTGGTTTTATTGAGCAGCACTGAACTATTGCTGTCAATACCCTTACAAGAAAAACTGCTATGACAATAACTTCAAAAACACACCTTTTCTCTCAGAAATATAATACTAAATTGATTGTTAACAAAGAACCACATACTATCAATTTTAGGAGGCATAAATAGTAATTTAAATATACAAAATATATGTGATAGTTTCTTTTTTATTCATTCGTGACAATATTTATATTCAACTAACAAGTTCTTCTTAAAAGATATATATGATTTTTTTTAACTTAAATTTCACCACCACAAAATTGAATCTACCCCATCCCTCATCCCCTGCCTTTCCTGTTTCTTTCTTTAAACAAACTAAAATAAAAAGTGGTCATTAATCTTTGGTCATGGTGTCATAATCAATAAGAATGGGTGTGATGATCACATACAGAAGATTACGACCCGGAAATGTGGTGATAACCAGTTTGAAAAAAATAATAAGAAATACATTTTTGATTAATGGATCTAAATGTTTAGAAAGATTGCCATTTAATGTATTAAAATATGTAAACTGGTCTAGTTGAATGTTAATTTTTTCGTTTTCTTGGGGAAACAAGCATACACATGAAAAGTTACTTAAATATAGTGATTATGGTGGCTACAATGCCACTGGTCCCACTTTCTTGAAAGCAGTTATGCTCTTGAGCTATTAATTCCTTGTTCCTTCCATTGTCACAGTGAACCCTGGTCTCCTCCAATCAGATCAACGATGCAAGGCCACATGCCCCTAAAGTCATTTCCCAAGGAAATGTTTTCAGCTGGGATGCCCAATATATCCTAGTAACTTTCTCTGGAGTCTGACTACCCATTGCTTAGTTGTTACTGTCAGACTAATGGTTATTCTAACCACTGCCAGAAGTTACTAAAAAGAAATTCTTATAAAGCCAATGTAGCAAAAATATTGTTGTCAACGTAACTTGGATGTCCAAATTAAGCATCACATTTGCATTCATTTCCTGTCAAACCCTTGAAACTTAAAAAGCACAGATGCTTTTAACAAATATGATATTCAACTTCTACGTTACTAGCACCAGATCATATAATATGTGGTTGAACATGATTTGTAGTTGTGAGATCTTATACAGAAACCAAATGTGGGCAAGGAAAACAAACATTTTAAATGCAAAACTTAATAATAAAAGGCATCAAGGGATTACATATAAAAGAGATAACAAACCAGTTAATACTGAAATTATATCATATAGTAAACTCTTGATATTTCTGTAATTTATATACGCATAGTGTGTATTATTTCAGGTGTCACCCATAAACTAGTAAAATATTTACATTTTAATATCTTCTGGATTCAAAATAATCCGGGATAAATAAGTGTGCCTTCATTGCAAGGACATATGCATTTTATCTTGAACTTGCCACGAATAGGCACAGCTTCCCGTGGCATTCCATTCCCACAGAAAAGACATATAACAGTTCATTATCATATGTCCAAGTCGACCTCCCTCTTCATATTAAGAAATGTGGAGCTCACACCATCCTGCGCACACTCATATGGCAGTATCCCAGAATACCGTTTGCTGTTTAGAATAGGGCGGAGGGCTGTACTTCTTGGCACCTGCATTCTTCTTCCAGCTGGGCAAGATAGGCATGCTATCCTGTTTGCAAAGGCCCTTTTCCGTTTTCTGTCTAGCCTTTATTTCCTTGCACAAGCAACGCTTTTTCTCAATCATCTCAAGCATTGTATGGTCTCCATGAAACCACTGCATGCATGCCACCTAGCAAAAAAGAAAGAATGAACACAAAAGAAAAAAATGGAATGAAAGCATATTTCTTTTGCACTATGCTAGTAGTTTATTAGAACAATGTCACTGTTTCTATATCTCTTTTAAAAATTATTTTTTGTTTTGCGTTGTTTTAGACAAGGTCTCACTCTGTCACCCAAGCTAGAGTACAATGGTATGGTCACAGCTCATAGCAGCCACGACCTCCTGGGCTCAAGTTATCCTCCTATCTCAGCCTCCCCAGTAGCTGGGAATACAAGCACATACCACCATGTCCAACTAATTTGTTAAAAAGTTTTTTGGTAGAGATGAGTTCTCTCTATATTGCCCAGTGTGGTCTCAAACTCATGGGCTTAAGCAATCCTCCCACCTCAGCCTTCCAAAGTTCTGGGATTACAGATGTGAGCTACTGTGCTCAGTCCAAAAACTCTTAAGATTAATTAGGAAATAGAAATATAAAATTTCTTACAAAACAAAAATAAAAGCATGGAAACCAGAAACAAATTTTGTACCTATATTAGTAAACATCATGATATTTAACATAATTTGGGCATGAATATTTTTCAATATGTTCTGAAAGTTCATGATATGAAAAGTAAATGTTTTATACTTTTAAGTAATTTTCCAAATATTTACCTATAACATTATGTTGGCTCCATTGTCTTATTATTTCCCATATTTTAAAATTCAGTTATTGGAATTACTTTTCAATGAGGTCTAATATGAATGTTATGTGTTTTAAAGATGTTAATAAATATTTATTTTATTCTCAAAATAATTTTTAAATACTTGGGTTTATTTATAAAGAGAATATAGTAGAATAGCTATTTTTAATAATTGTTTTCATCAAAATGATTTTAAGTGTACTCCATATGCTTAGAATGTAAATGCTTAAATATTTCTTTTGCAAAGAAGTTTTTGGTATAGTTTTGAATGCTCCCACAGATGTCTACATTAGAATCATTCGTCCCTATAGTCACACTGACAAGGATCCTAATCAACTTCAAAAAATTAGAAATATAGATTCATAAGGTCGTTGTGGTTACCAGGAGAAAGTTCAGTGGGGACTATATATTGATACACACACACACACACACACACACACACACACACACACGTATTAAACACTGCTTCCAGGTATATGTGGCACCATGTCTATCAGTAACTGTTCCTTGGAACAGAACTAGCATGTTGAGTCTGTCACACAAGGACAGCAATAAAATTGGGCCCATGAGCTCTGCTAGGTTGGGGAAGCTCCCACATAATTGTTTAAGCAAATCTACTCTATAACTTGAAGCATTAAAATTGTGTACTTGAAGCCACTGAAATTGCTGTTGCAATTTTAGGGTGATAATTACAGCAAATACATAATGCTTACTCTATATCAGATTTCATTCTAAGAACTTTGCATAGTTTAATTCGTTTATTCCTCATCAAAATGCACTGAAGTCATAACATTTATTAACCCATAGTGATGAATAAAATGAGACTTAAGGTGATTTGATAACTCTCCCAAAGTTACAGAGCCAACAAATGACAGAGTCATGATTTGAACCCAAGAGTTTATGCCCAAAACCTAAGAGTTTATGTCCAACCCCTGTGCCTTTAACAACTACACCACGCTGCCTCTCAATGTATACACAGAACTAGAAAGGATTGGGAGCATGGATTAGTACAACACTCTAAGCAAGATGAGGAAGTTATATATCTAGTCCAAAACCAGGCAGGTAGGTTTTTGTGTTAACAAAGCTAAATTACATTCTCACAATTCCCAATCATTTAGGGAGAGGGCAGGACCTAGACCTAGAAAACATGGATTTAAATCCTGATGTGTCAAATTTCCGCAGGTCACTGGGCTTCTTGTTTTCTTTATCTGAATGAATGAGTTGATAAAGTTGGTGTGAGGTTTAAATAGGATAATGAATGTCAATTCATTTTAAAAACAGGAAAGCATTGTCCAAGTCTTATTATTCTAACACTGATAAATAACTAGTAGTTTTTCACACCTACGCTATGCCAGTCATCTGCAAAGAGCTTTATTTTATATTAAATCCTCCCAGCCACACTGAAAGAATTTACCTTCATACTACAATTAATAAAACTAAGTCTCAGAAAGTTTAAGAAACTAGGTCATGGTCACAGCTAATAAATGATACAGACCTATATCAAACTCAGGTCTGTCTGACTCCAAAGCTGATATTCTTTCTACTATATTATGTTCCACCGCCTGAATTTTACTTCAAAATTAAAATAATAGTCATTGTTGTATGTTTCACTGTTTCCAGATTCTACTCAAAAATACAACTATATTTGTGGTTTTATGAATGGGAATAAAAACTGCTTATTAAATAATTAAATCAAAGTTACTAGCTTGGATTTGGAGCCCAGAAGATGATACTCAGATGAATGCCTTGCTTATGCCTAATATGATAGAAAGTTCCTTGAAAAGATGAGCTGTATTTTATGTCTCTGGTGTCATCTAGTTCCTAGCTCAGAACCATGGACATGAGCATTCACTTTTTAAATAAAATTTTAGGTGTTCGTTGACTTAATCTAATGAATAAGTGTGTGTTCCAACAGTAGACTGTCAAAGTGGCTCAGAAATTTTTCAACAGTCAGTATTTTATAACATGATAATCTGTACAATAAAAATGCAGCAACTCTATTTTGGTGAAAATGCAAGCAAAATTTATTAACTACAAACTGTCATAATGGAATTTATAACACAGAATTCCCAGAGGACAAGCTCCAAATCTCATGCATCTCAGTGGTCCCAACTTGTAGCACAGAGTCCTAGGCTCTCAATAAAAGTTTAATGAATTAAATAGAAGCCACCATCATAGAACAGTTTTTGTTGCCTCTCAAAAAAAAAAAAAAATCCCGATAATCTTCTTAGTAAAATCTTCTGGGTTCTACACATTTCAACATCATTGCAAAACCTCCAAACTTCCTTAAGGCTCAATATTTCTTACAGCATCAGTTCCATATTTGTATTTATTTACTTGTCCAAACAAACATTAAGTCATATGTTACTTAATTCCCTCTAATATTTTTATGGTATAAATTGGTATGTCCAACTGAAAAATATCTTTTCTGCATTGCTTTGACAACAGTGTCACCAATATATTTCATGGTTGCATAACATTTCATATACATATATAGTATTGTATTATCCATAAAATATGTATTTTGTGTCAAAAGGAAATGCATGCTATATAGGTGCGTACATTTATTAATAGATTTCTTAAAACTCTAAAGACTGGAAGAATAAGGATAAAAATTATGAAGCTTGGAATTTAATTCTTTACATTTTTCTTTTACATTAAAATAGTTATATATCTACTTGATTGATAGAAATTGCTAAAATATTAGGAAAAGAAAATCACTTTTTTTTTTTTTTCAGACTCACTCCATAATATTTAACTCTTATCTTTTGGAGACATGTATGGTGAGTGAGAAAGTGTTGCCCAATATGTGAAATTCCATGAAAAAAGCATTGCCTAATACATGAAAGATGGCTAGATATCAGATGATAATTCAAACTCAAGTTGCTGGAAGATTGCCAATTTGAAATACAAATATACATTTAAAAACATCTTAACAAATATATAGATTCTAGTATAGAATCTTCTTATTTAAAATCTGCTATCAATTTGTTTGCATTTGAATTCCCCCCAAAATATTTCTATGTTAAGGTGTGACAAAGAAACATAGAATATAATTATATTATGGCAAGATACATCTGTTTCACATATTTATTTTTAAATAGCACATGTTTGCGTGCATTTTTTTTTAATTCTCAAAATCAAACTCCAATGTTACTACTGTGGCCATTTTCATCATTGAATCCTTCCAAAAATATATCTAAATAATATTTTTTCTGATAGTAAGATGTTATGCTTTCATTCACCATTTTGCATATAATAAATACCATATTTAACAAGCATATGAAGTATGTAAAGAATACTACTCATGAAAGATTGCATTGTTTTTCTACTTTTTTCTTTTATCACAAAATTCTTCATATTCTTTAAGAAAAAATATGTGTAAAATCCCATTCCGTCGCTCCCTGGAGTTGAAAGAACTGTAGGAATTGACTATTACAACAAATTTGAAAGCAAGCCCAGTAAATAAACTCTTATAGTTCAGTTATTTAATTCAGTGGCTTTATTTCTTATCTTTAATCCAAAGGCATTTATCATACCATATATCCCATGAAGAAAGAAAAAAACATATACACAGGTAGGTAAGTACACATCAAAAGATAACTGTAGGACAATCTCTAGGACAAGATTTTTATTCTACCATGATTCATCAGAAGCAATATTCTTGGATAATAAGTTCATGGAAATAAGATCAAATGAAGCTTCCTGTCAAGGAGGTGAAATTTCAATCTCCACTTCTTATATGCAGGCTACACACAGTGACTTCTTCCTAAAAAGTATCGTATGGAAAGCGAGGAGGGAAGTAACTATACATTGGGGGAATCTGCTGTTAGGTCTGAACGGTTCTGCCCGCTTAAAATTCTTATGTTAGAGTCTTAACCTCCAAGGTGATGGTACTAAAGGGTGGGACCTCAAGGTGGTTGGGAGATGCATAGGACTAGTGCCCTTATAAAATAGGCGCAAGAGAACGCCACCCCTTCAACCATGCTGCTGACACAGCAAGAAGTCAACAGTCTGCAGCCAGGAAGAGTGTCTTCGCCAGATCATAACCATGCTGTCATGTTGCTCTTGGACTTCTCAGTTTCCAGAACTGTGAAAAATGCTTTCTGTTGTTTATAAGCCACCCAGTTTATAGTATTTTGTTCTAGCAGCCCAAACGGACAAGACACCTGGAAAACACCACCTCCAACAGATGATCAACAGTGGTGAATTATACTGGTAGTATGTATTTTTGTTATAACGTGATGAGAGCAGAGGCACTTTTTATCTCTGCCATCTTCCTCCTCAAAACCCGTAACTCCACTCAAATCATGAGAAAAACACCAGAGA